GCCCTCGAGTGACCAAAGTTCAGCCCACTGATTAGTTCATTCATCTCTTAAGCCCARAACCCCGGTTTTCTACTTTAGTTACCATTAGTTATTTTAGTTAAACATAGACATGTTTGGTATCTACAGAAACCTCAGAATCTTGACTACAAGCTGGTAAAAACATTTCTATGCACACTCAAAACAGTAAAAACTACAAGCAGTTGAAGATAAAACCATGAAAGTGAAAATAAAAAATTGGTTTAAAAATTTGGCAAATCAGAGATGTCAAAATATTGTCAAATAGGAAGCAGAATGTGTTATTATTGTGTTTGATATTGTTTTATTATCACAACTTCATAGGGTTCTGTTTGATTACCGGTAATTCATGACTAAATACAGCAAAATAAATTATTTCAAAGACAACAGATCTTTGTAACACTTAGTTTATTGACATAATAACTTTAATTGCTGGATGTTCGGCCCTTCAGCTGTATTAACTATGGCCTCCGGAGCAATTTAGTTGAATAGCCCTGGTCTAGGTTTTCAAAAATAATAGTAAAAAATATCTCCACAACTGAGACAGACAAAAGCAATTTGATTAAAGTTCTAAATTCAAACAATCATGTGAATATAAATAATTTTAATAACCACCATAAAGACAAAATATATGCCCAATTTAATAGAGAAAGATTTTTTAAGACAAAACATTTTTTTAAATCACAAAACAGATRAGAGCAAAGAAAATACTTGGGACTTTTTAGGGTTTTATTATGTTTGAGTTCATAGATGTGTCAGATTTTCTAATCTAAACTTTAAAAATTTGATAGTTTTCGTTCGTTTGGACTAGGGTTGGGCAATATTGGCAAAAAAAAAGTAATCACGATTAATTGTGGTATTTAGCCGATTACGATTAATTTGACGATTAATCCCCTGGACACCCTTATATCCTCGTCACATGACCAATTTATAGGGAGAAAATTGGCTCTTTGTAAAAATCTGTTCCAAATTGTGTCAAAATTACAGACTATAAGGCTATACATCAAACTTTAAATTGTGTTGATAGATAATTAAATTACACAACTTTTTTTAATGTTGGTCATATTCGAACCAGAGAGGAGCACCAAGTGGTTAGTCAGCCTGGTGGCATTAATCGTATTAAAGTGCCAAAAATTAATCGATTAATGTTTTTCTGACAATTAACCGCACTTGATACGATTATGCTCAACCCTAGTTTGGACACAATGAGAACGATAAATGATAAATTTACAGAAATGACTCTTTGAACAAACAAAAACAAAAATCTAAGTCTGAAAATGTCCACGTGACTCTGAACGTTTCCTGATGTTCCAAGGGTTTTTCTTTCGTTTAGATCCAATCAGGTTTTCTTCTCTGTACTGTTCTCAGATTTGTCCTCGCGGCTCCGTCGCTCCGTCTCGCTCCTGTCTTCTCGCGGCGTTCGGTGGTAGAGCGCATGAAGCAGCCCGCCGCTCACGTCAGCATCCTCCGCCCCCTCACAGCACCTGATCCACGACTGAGGGAYGGCCTCGACGCCGTAGTGGGCCCCCGCGATGGCCCCGGCCATGCAGGCTATGGTGTCCGTGTCGCCGCCCAGGGCCAGGCTGTACGCGATTGTCCTCTCCAGGCCGCCGTAGCTCTCCGGAAGGCCTTCTCGAGGCTGCAGACAGTGGAGGACGCAGAAGATGGCGGTGGGAACCGAGTGGAGCGCCGCAATGCCGTTCCCTGCAGGAAAAACAGGGATTTTGGAGTGGTGAGAGGAAATCAAAATCAGAGAGACACGAAGAAGAAAATGTGAAGAAAAGTMAAAGATACTGACCAAGTTCAGCGATGACCTCTTCTATGCTGACCTTGCTTCGATCCATCAGATCTCGAATTCTGTGAAGACGCTCGCAGTACGGCTTCTCTGCTTCCTTTAGGCTGGAGAGAAACACAAATCTTTATTTTCTGACAGTAAGCCTCAAACTCCGGGTGTTCCAGGTTTGTTCAAACGGAGCTGTGAAGAATCACAGAGAGCTCACATCCTGGCATCGCGGAGCGCCGCTTCGTCGCCCTCCACCTCCTCCATTTCTGCCATGAGCCTGCTTATGAACTGCTGGGGCAGCTCCAGCGCCCCCTGCAGGGACAGATGGACAGCGAGGGCCTGCAGCACCGCGCCGTTATAACCCAGAGAGCAGGAGTGCGTCAGCATGGCACCGAGCTGCGTGAACTGCAGGAGAGGAAGTAAGTCTTAGCTGCATGAAGCAGGATCAACGTGTCCAAACGTGCACCTGTGTTGGTGATGCGTTTTTGTCTCCTCTTACCTTCTTAACATCAGCCGAGTCAGGAAAAGCCAAAGCAAAGGGTGCGGCTCTCATGGCGCCTCCGTTCCCAAAAGAGCCCCGGCCGTTAAACTGGTCCCTCGCTGGCTGATAAACGTCTTTTATCTGCGGGGAGGAGAGCTTCTTCAACACCTGGACGACTCCAGAACCATAACCGCGGCTCGGGGAGACGCTGTACTCCTTCGCAAACCTGCAAAAGTTGAGAAAAACACGGGAGCGACGTTTCTGACGTTAGAGTCCAAATCTGCAGAGAAACTGAAACGAAGAGGACAGAGGTGACCACCTGCCCACCTGACGGCCATGTCCCGCTCATCAAATCCAGCCCGGCTGAGAAGAGACTGGACCACGCAGCGAGTCATCGCGGTGTCGTCGCTGTATTCCAGGATTCCTGACGAGCAGAAAATATTTCAGCTCAAACGTTGCATCTCATCACAGTGAACTAACCTTAAAGGGACAATATCATGTAAAATCAACTTTTTGGGGTTTTATATGTTTTGATACAACGGCCAAGAAGGGGTTCTCTGCAGACTCAAAGTAGGCGTTTCTCAAGCATCAACACTGATTGGCTAGTTGTATTTGCTCTGTTTTTCAAAAAGATTTGCTCTTTTCTTTTTTTTTCTTTCACTTTTGACTTTAACTACTTTCACAAATGAAACTGCAATGTATCGTTAAAGACAAACATTCAGTTCTCCCTATTTCCAAATGTCTCAAAAAACAAAACAAAACMWAAACAAACAAAAATAAACTACCGACTGATGTTGCTCTTATTTTGAAATGTAACCTGGGGCTCTTTGTTAAGAGAAGTGGAAACAATGAATCGACGTCGGGTTGGTATCTTTAATAAACATGCAGAAATAAATGAATGAAAGCGTCGGGTCAGACACATAAAGGCTTTTATTATTTGTGACCCAACATATCAAAATGAGGATTAAGTCAAATTTGGTCAAAATGACCCAATCATATTTTCAGATTCCTGCTTTAAAAGCTACATTTTGATACTTAGATCATCCTGATATAATTAGTAGATCCAGAGATGTTATTTAATTTGTCTTGTTGGTTACAATAATACATAAATATTTGGTGTAAATCCTAATTTTATGTACGGTAATTTTAATGAGGTTTTTTAATGTCATTTTTAAAAAGAAACCTCAAATAGTATTTGAATATTGAGATTTTCCAGTTGGAAAGAAACAAAAACATTGCTAGCGCACAGGGAGAATCTCAAAATTTTAAAGTGTTTTTCCTCAAAATCGTTTTTTTTTTTTGTTGTTGTTGTTGTTGATAATGCTCAAAAAAGGGCTCCAAAAATTTTTTTTAGGATAATATTTCAGACAGTTCATTGATAACTTTTTTATATTTTGACAAACTGTAATTTTTGCAAGTGTTTTAATCAAAACACTATATCTGCCTATTTCTCCACATACAACTTAATCCTTGTTTCGATGTGACGGGTCACATATATGGAAATGATGAACGAAGAGGGTCCGACACTGTCGATGTATTCATTTAAACATGCTGAAATGATGAATGGAGAAGTTGAGTCGGCGTCTTTTATATCATCATCCTTATCATCAAACTTTATTTATAAAGCTCTGTAACATCAGCCACACCTGAAACAAAGTGCTGAACACATGAAATAAAAACTCAATACAAAAACACAATAAAACCACAGTTAAATAAGTAAAATCAGCACCAATACAGTAAAAGTTGAGTAAAATCAAATCGCAGTTGGGTTGAAGGCCAGTGAGGAAAAAAATATGTTTTTAGGCGAGTTTTAAAAATGGACAGTGAAGGGGCCTGTCGAACATGCAAGGGCAAGGCGTTCCACAGTTTAGGGGCACTGGTGAAGAAGTGCCCCTAAGTGCACTGGTGCAGGCTGTTTAAAGCCTTAAAAACAAACAGATTTTAAAATGAACTCTAAAACACACAGGCAACCAGTGGAGGGAAGCCAGGACCGGGGTGATGTGCTCTCTTCTACATGTTCCTGTTAACAGAGGGGCAGTAGCGTTTTGCACCAGCTGCAGACGTGTGAGGGATGACTGGTTTAATCCAAAATAAAGTGAGTTACAGTAATCCAGTCGAGAAGAAATAAAAGCGCGGACCACTGCTTCAAACTGTTGCCTTGAAAGAACAGATTTTATCTATGCTATTTTTCTCAAGTGATAAAAGCTAGACTTGACTGTAGCCCTTATTTGACTATCAAGTTTAAAATCACTGTCCATCCTAAAATCAAATATGAAATATGACCAAACCAAATATAATTATATAAATATATAACATCAGCAGATAACATAATCTGCCAGCTGTTATTATTCTCAAGTCTTCTGACTAACTCGGTAACAACAGCAAGTTTGTGAAACTAAATATAATGAAAATAAATATGAAAATCCAATGCTAGGGTGGAAAAGTAAGCTAAAACGCCTAAGCAACGATCATCCAATCAGGTAGTGTGTGCTTGAGTCACACCCCTTTTTTGCTCGTCCAATCAGGTGTGTCTCTTGAGAACCGCCTTGGAAACGCCTACTCGTATGCAGAGACCCCTACTTGACYCAGCCGAAATGGGCGGGACAGAAGCGTAAGGAGGTTCTTAAAGAGACAGAGGCCAATTTCAAGACGTTTCGAAACAGATACGATGAGAAGTCAAGTTTATTTCCTATTTAAACATATAAACAACATTTAATAACAACTGAAGGTGACATAGTTGCTTTTATTATGGTATATAATTTAAATACATGCCTGAGAAACACTTAATATTGCCCCTTTAAACTGGAGAAATTTGTCAAATAGCAACAGTTACTGTTTTAATCTTGAATAATAATTAAACTAGAGTTTTGCTGCACCTGACTCTGAAGTTATTTAGTTAAAAGTTGCTTTTATAAATGTACAATGAATGAATTATAGACATCTTCAACTTAATTTCTCTTAATTTTTTAAAAAGGGTTTTAATGTGGTCGAAAATAAATTCAGCGTAGTATATTTCTATTTTCATAATATTCTGATTTGTTCCAGATTCAGTGAGTGCCTTCAACACTATTATCCTAAATTTTAAATAAATCAATTATTTTATCAATATTATATGCGTAAGTTATAGAAAACTGAACTAGCATGAATTGTAGTATTTTTAAGGGTGCTGCTGACAGAGATTAAAYMAGGGGTCTGCAACCTACGGCTCTGGGGCCACATGTGGCTCTTTGGTCCCTCTGCAGTGGCTCTTTGAAAATGTGACCAAACATAATGGAATCAATTTTTTTATACCCATAACAGAAATCTTATTTGTGTACAATTATGTGATCAATACTACTAATATAAAAAGTAAAACATGTTAGCTCATGCTAGCCTGTTGTTTACTTAATATTCCAATTTCTTTTACTCAAATCCATCAGAATTACCTTTAAATAATTTGAGACTACATAATAATTAGAAAAAAATGCCTGAATAATTCAGCTGTACTAGTGTTTATGAAACTTGGTATAAACTATATAAAGTATTTTCTTGTTTACATGAATATGGTATTTTTATTTGTGCTGATGTGCATAATAATAAATAATAAAACAATAACAACAATATATTTTTAGTTAACGTCACCTCCACTGACCGTAAAGGTTTCTGAAAAGGCCTTGAAAAGGCCCACGGACCACCAGTTGATAATCCCAGTTGTAGCTTGTTTTGTGGCTCCGGACACATTTTATTAGTGAGACAAGGCGCAGAAACGGCTCTTTTGATCGTAAATGTTGCAGACCCCTGGAACAGTCCCTGCAGCTGTTTTGCTAACAAACACACGAACAACCAGCTTTCATTCTCCACCCACCGTTTCCTTTCGTTTCATCGTCCAGGCTGTTCAGGTGCTGGACCACGCTCTCCATCGGAACCTCCTCCGCTCCTTCGAACTCTCCGCCGACGCAGTCCCCCAGCACAGCCGCGACCAGCGCTCCCCTGAAGCGGGACAAAGACGCCGGGCCCCCCGCTGCCGATGCCACCGTTGCGGCGGCCCTGACCGCCGTCATCGCCGCTGCACCCAGCGGGAAGACAACAAGCTTCGAAMCGTTCCGCAGCTCCGCTGAATCGACGTGAATCAAAATATCAACCAGGAAAAAGAACCAAATTGGATTTAGGGGCTACGTATGAGAAAAAAAAATGTCAACAGAAGTCCTCCTCTGATTCTCTTCCGGTGGACAAAGATCCTTTCAAACCCGGGTGAAAGGTTCCGCCGCTGTCGAACAAAAAGACGTAAAGCTAAATTATCATTGACAACGATGCGCATGTTTATTCTGGTTATTTTATATGCTATACCTAAACAACCTCTGTTAATAAGTGTTTAATAAAAAACGTGTGCGCACATTTTCTGACAAAACCGCTATGACATATCAAAACTTAAAACATGCGCCATGACTTTTTTTGTATTTTGTTAAACAAAGTATAGTAATCTAATATTAAAAAATATTGTTTCACTTTACAAGAGTTGTAAAGTAGCCTAATTATGTGCAAATACTTTGTTACTGTACTTAAGTAGATTTTTTGGATAGCTATCTGTACTTTACTTGAGTAATTATTTTTCAGCCTAATTCTTACTTCTTACAGTTACACACAGTTATCTGTACTTTCTACTCCTTACATTTAAAAAAGGCAAGAACGTCGTTACTTTTATTTCATTTTTTCTTGTTTTCATTCCAGCTTGTTATTGTAAAAAATAAATACTATCCGTATAAATTGTATCTCCTAGATAGAGTGAATTTAATTGTAGTTGAATGAGAAGTATAAATATATAAAATTCTGATACTGTATTAGTTTGTACACAAACAAATCATGTCACACTGCAGCAGGACATAATCATTGAAATAAAAGAAGTATTTGTAAATAAGAAATTATTATTATTAATTTGTAAATAAGAAATTATATTTTTGTGTCAAAACGTCCTGTACTTAAAAATTTTAATTATTAGTGACATTTGTGTGCACCTGTGGTGAGCGCATGTATCCTTAACTAAAATTTAACTGATTTACTTTTGTCTTTTTTGGTGGCTGGCCTGGCTTAATTAATGTAAACTGTAATGTATTCTGTAGTGTAAAAATGTTAAAGTTAAACTTTTTTATATTTTAATTAATTAGATTCTACCAGAAGAAACTCTATGCTTTTAAACAGGAAACAAAAAAGAAAAGCTACATTTAATGGGGTGGTAAAACTTCGATAACAAAGAATCAGGATGGAGTGGGTGCGGTCCTTTTCAATCAGCCGGGCGATGAACCGGTTAGAAGTGAGGAGGGGAAATCACACAGTTTGTTTGACGAAAAGGTGCCTAATCCCATTCAGAACATGATTTTTTTTTTTTGCACCAATCACGTCAAGTTAAAACTCAAGGTTTAGCAGCTGATTCTGGTGCCTCTGTCATACATCCCTTCCAGCGTTTACCTGTATCATGCAAATGGTGTGTAGCCAGTACTGATAATGATACCGTAATAACAGAAATGTTTTTTTTTAATGGTTAAGGTTTTAATCAGAAATTAACTTCATAAATTTACGTGGTAGTCATAACAAAATATTGCAAGACTGCATAAGAAATGTTACTGATTTTATCAGAGCAGATGACAACCTCATTAAAGATAAAGTATACAAAAAAAAAAGAAAAAAGTGAGAACTTAATCTAAAGTTACGGTAATGCTAACTATCCTGCTCCTGATAGCTGTTTCTCTACTAATTTGGGGATAAAAATAATAACAAAGTGAAACATTTCGGGTCGTTTTGTATTTATAGTGTTTATAAAACAAACCCAGGGTGAGTCGCAGGGCTCTTCTGGATGAAGAACAGCGTCATTGCCGCTGCTTGACCCGGTGTTCTACCGAATCGTGTGCACCCCTCACCGGAGGTGGGCGTCTGGAAGCGCGGCGACTGCAGCATAATTAAAACATGGCCGACACGGAGGAATGTAGACTTAAACGTTTAAAGGTAAGATATTTGCAACAATATATATATGTATATATCATCTTAGCTGCAGTCAGATAAAACCCAAACTGACTCAGTTGCATATTTTGGTTAGCAGAGTTTGTCGTCAGCTTCCGGTCGACAGCTGCTCACATAAGCTAGCATAGTTAGCAGCTGTAGCTTGCTGCATGCCGCTACGATTGGCTCATTTAACATCTTAACATGTCGTATAAAAGAGTGAAAACACACCTTAATCGTAACATGGCGCTTGCGTTTACGTTTACACCTTGAACTATTTTATAAACTCAATAATCCAACTTTACTTTGCAGTTAGCTGCCGCTTTCACGAGCATCGCTAACTACTGTGTGAACAATAAAATAGCTGATTTATTTGCGCTTTCGTCGCCTCTATTTGCGTAAAACGTACAGCAGATGCGTTGTTTTAATCAAAATTATCTATGTTTGCTTGGTACTATTCAGGAGTTTGAAAGTAGTTCAACGTAGAGCGAGAAATTAATGAATTTTGCATGGAGTTTGGTGGGACGCATCTTCAAACAATCAGTGGAACCAGAAGAGGCCCGTATTTGTTTAAAGAACACACACACACACACACACACACACACACACACACACACACACAAATAAATCAGGATTCACAAAGCCTTAGCTTTATGAATCAATCAGCAAATTTTCATACACAAGGTTTTTGATCTTATATTTATTTTGTCATAATTAAGAAATTATCCCCTAAATTAAAATCTGAGCAGGTTCTGTCTGGCAGCTTAATGGTACTTATCAAATCACAACATACAGTTTGGTTCATATCTATTTGGACACTGACACAAAGCTTTTATGGTTTTGTTTAACGGTTTACTAAAATATATTAAAGTTATCGTTATATAATGGACATAAAGTCCAGACTTTCAGCTTTCATTTGAGGGTTTCCACATTGAAACTGAATGAAGGGTTTATGATTTCAGCTCATTAACATGTGCCTCTCTGCTTTTAAAGAGACCGAAAGTATTTGGACAATTGACTCAAAGGCTATTTCATGGGCAGGTGTGGGCAATTCCTTATCATTCTCAATTAAGCAGATAAAAGACCTGAAGGTGATTTGAGATGTGGTGCTTGCATTTGGAAAGTTTTACCATGGAGAAAATGTGCGGTCAAAGGAGCTCTCCATGCAGGTGAAACAAGCCATCCTTAAGCTGCAAAAATAGAGAGAAAAAAATCATCTGAGAAATTGCTACAGTCTCAGGAGTGGCCAAATCTACAGTTTGATACATCCTGTGAAAGAATGTACTGGTGAACTCATGAATGCAAAAAGACCTGGATGCCCACAGAAGACAACAATGGTAGACAATGGCAGAACAACATCAGCCATGAATAACACTCCAGGAGGTAGTATCAATATTCAAATCTACCATAAAGAGAAGACTTTATAAAAGTAAATAGAGAGGGTTCACTGTATGCTGCAAGGCACCCATAAGCCTCAAGAATAAAAAGGGTGGATAATGACTATGCTGAAAAACATCTAAAAAAAAGCCAGCACAGTTCTGGAAGAACATTCTTTGGACAGATGAAACCAAGATCAACCTCTACCAGAATGATGGAAAGAGAAAAGTCTGGTGAAGGCGTGGTACAGCTCATGATCCAAAGCACCACATCGTCTGTAAAACACAGCAGAGCAGTGTGATGACTTGGGCATGCATGGCTGCCAGTGGCACTGGATCACTAGTGTTTATGGATGGTGTGACACAGGACAGAAACAGCCGAATGAATTCTGAGGTATTAAGAGCCAGACTGTGTGCTCAGATCCAGCGAAACTGATTGGTGGGCGTCTCGATACAGACGGACAATGACCCAAAACAAGGAGTTTATTAACGCAAAGAAGTTGAATAACTAGTCATTCACCTGATCTCAACCAAAATGAGCATTTCACTTGTTAAAGACTAAACTTCAGACAGAAAGGCCCACAAACAAACAGTAACTGAAAACCAGCAGTGAAGGCCTGGCAGAGCATTAAAAAGGAGGCAACAGCATCTGGTGATGTCCATGAGTTCAAGACTTCAGGCAGTCATTGCCGACAAAGGGTTTTCAACCAAGTACTAGAAATGAACATTTTATTTACAATTATTTAATCTGTCCAATTACTTTTGAGCCCCTTTGATTGTGTTTAAAATAATGTAGTTATTCACATTTCTATGCAATCGTTTGGTTCAATACACTGAATTAAAGCTGAAAGTCTGAACTTCTACTRCATCTGAATTATTTTGTTCAGAATTCATTGTGGTAATGCACAGAACCAAAATTAAGAAAATCTTGTTTCTGTCTAAATAGATATTGACCTAGCTGTAAAAAAACGTTTAACCTGAACTATTAGAGTTTACCCCGGTAGATTTTCAGAGTATGCACTCGAGGTGAAGCCTCCAATTTTGCTTACAATTTCCAAAATTTAATGCATTAACTGCTTATAAACACTCCCAACTAATGGTTTTCTTCTGTCCAGCACGAGGAGCAGATGTCCCGGATGTTCGATGAAGTGATGGGGCTCGGGGACTTTGCAGACTCCTCCAGGGGCTCAGCCGCCTCCTCCAAGAGCGGGGGTCAGGCCGAGCTGAAGGGACTAGACGAGTCGTCGGGGCAAAAACTGATCGAGGAAGACAGCAACGGCAGCCGACGAGAAGAGAAGACGGACGAGACAACGGGAGAGGCGACGGGAGAGACGACCTTTCCTCAGCTCCCATCCTCCTCTTCAGACCAGCTCTCCCCGTTTAACATGAAACGGGGAGGAGGCGAAGCGGCGTTTGACGACGCCCTGGACGGTCTTCCTCCGTACGGCCCGGAGGAAGAGGATGAAGACTGGCACTTCGCTCTGCCGATGGGCTCCCTGGAGGATGTGGATTTGGGGAAGACAAACACGAAAACGACGCAGTTCGGACCTGGGAACAGCGCGTCCCGGGCCGTTCCCTTGGCTTCGAAAGCCGGAGACGACGGCGAAGAAGAGGAGCGGCAGGAGAGGGAAGGGAGCGGGGAGTCTGCCAACACCTCCCACTCATCGCAGGACAACACACCAGACGACAGCAGAGGTATTGATTTGTACAGATTATTTAAAAATGATGCAGATTTTTTTTCATCGAGACATTTTAGCTCAATATCTGTAAACTTAACAAGTCACTGAAATGAAAACWTCTCCACCATCCAAGGAACAGACGTCCCAAACCAGACGGAGGAGACCGAGGACAGCCAGCTGGACAAGGTGAGTCGGTAAACACACTGAAAGTTAGCCTCATCAAGCCTTCGCCAGTTGTTCACGAAGTCAAAAGGAAAAAATTGTATAGGTCTTCTGGACGGGTTCTTCTTTAATGAAACGTTTCGTCTCTCTTCCAAGAGACTTCTTCAGTCTGAGAGTTTCAGGCAAAATTCAGGCTTTTTAAGCCCTGCCTCCCGGTGACTGATACTCACATCACATGGCTATCGTTCACACCTAATTAATACCTATTGTTAACGGGGTGGAGTGATACTGCCAATGGCAGCGCTGTAGGAGGGGGACAACTGAAAATGGAGGCCTCCACCTCTGTTTAATGATGGACGGTCTTTCTTYACAAAAATGGCTTCTTTTACTCCTCTCTCAAACCAACGTTCCTCTCTATCAAGAATGAGAACATCCTCATCTCTGAAAGAGTGACCGCTGGCCTGTAAATGAGTGAAAACTGCAGAGTTCTGGCCATTAGAATTAGCTCGTCTGTGTTGGGACATTCTTTTGAAGAGTGGCTGCTTTGTTTCCCCGATGTATAACTGGTCGCAGTCCTCCTGGCACTTAACAGCATATACAAYATTGCTCTGTTTGTGCCGGGGCACCGGATCTTTGGGGTGAACCAGCCTTTGCCCTAATGTGTGAACATGTGACTGATACTCACATCACATGGCTATCCTTGACACTTAATTAGCACTTATTGTTAACAAAGGGTCGAGTGATAAAAGAAAAGAATGTCCCAACACAGACGAGCTACATCTAATGGCCAGAACTCTGCAGTTTTCACTCATTTACAGGCCAGCGGTCACTCTTTCAGAGATGAGGATGTTCTCATTCTTGATAGAGAGGAACGTTTGTTTGAGAGAGGAGTAAAAGAAGCCATTTTTGTGAAGAAAGACCGTCCATCATTAAACAGAGGTGGAGGCCTCCGTTTTCAGTTGTCCCCCTCCTACAGCGCTGCCATTGGCAGTATCACTCCACCCCCTGTTAACAATAGGTATTAATTAGGTGTGAACGATAGCCATGTGATGTGAGTATCAGTCACCTGGAAGCAGTGCTTAAAAGCCTGAATTTTGCCTGAAACTCTCAGACTGAAGAAGTCTCTTGGAGGAGAGACGAAACGTTTCATTAGAGAAGAACCCGTCCAGAAGACCTACACAATTTTTTCCTTTTGATTTTTTACCTGGATTACTGAGATGCATCAGGACGTTCACGAAGTCGCTTTGTTTCAGACGTCTGAAGCCGCTCCCGTTCCAGAAAGCAATCCCCCGACGTGCCCCCCCGTAAATATTAAAGACGAGCCGATTGACGAGGGCTACGACGCCGCGCTGCTTCCTCAGAACGCCGCCAAGCAGATTAAAGAAGAGATGGAGCAGGTTGGTGTGAAGAGGGCGAGATTTCATTTTGATTCTGTGACATAATGTTAAATAATCCCTCCCAAATGAACAGTGATTTATTCCAGCTGAGGCGGCTAACGTTATGTAGTTTTCTGATCGTTACTCTGATACTAGAACTTTCATTTTGGTCCTGACTTTTGGGGAAATTAGTGCTTCAGCTGTTGTGTATTAATATGTACTAGTGTCAGATTAAAACAACATTATTTTTCATATGTAAAAAATGTATTTGTCTTTTTGAACATTTGATTCAATGTCTTCTTCCAGGAGGAGCTGAGAATCAGCTCTGTTTTCTCTGTAGGAGGAGCGAACACCTTCACATCTCCAACCAGTGAGTTGATTTATTGTCACTGACGCTGCAGGTGTAAAAAAAAAACGACTAATTTCTAACTTTTTCTTTCTTATTTACTCAAGTCGCGACTGCTATCCCAGGATCAACTCAGACGGCCTTTTTTATCCCGGGCAGAGGAGCGATCCTGCAGGCCATGACCCCCCTCTCTGTCAGACCACCACTTCCTGTCGCACCTTCGATACCCACCCTGACAGCGATACCACAAATACGACCTCCACCCCCACCCCCCGTCCCTGGCAGCGTTCGYTGCAGTGGCTGCCTCAAAGTAAAACAAATCATTTCATGTTTGACGTTAGAAGTTTAGAAATCATGTTGATCTGTTTTAGAAGCTGATGCGTTAACGGAAATATATATTTTTACACAAATATTTACATTTTACAGTGGTTTGCAAAAGTATTCATACCCCTTGAACTTTTCCATATTTTGTCACATTACAACCACAAACATAAATATATTTCACTGGAATTTAATGTGAAAGACCAACACAAAGTGGTATACAATTGTGAAGTGGAAGCAAAATTTTACATGAATCAAAACATTTTTTACAAATAAAAAACTGAAAAGTGCGATGTGCAAAATTATTCAGCCCCCCTGAGTCAATACTTTGTGGAGCCACCTTTTGCTGCAATTACAGCTGCAAGTCTTTTAGGGTATGTCTCCACCAGCTTTGCACATCTAGTGACTGCAATTCTTGCCCATTCCTCCTTGCAAAACAGCTCAAGCTCAGTCAGATTGGATGGAGAGCGTTTGTGAACAGCAGTTTTGAGATCTTGCCACAAATTCTCAATTGGGTTTAGGTCTGGACTTTGACTGGGCCATTCTAACACATGAATATTCTTTTTTTTAAACCACTCCATTGTAGCTTTGGCTTTATGTTTAGGGTCGTTGTCCTGCTGGAAGGTGAACCTCCGCCCCAGTCTCAAATCTTTTGCTGACTCCAACAGGTTTTCTTCCAAGATTGCCCTGTATTTGGCTCCATCCATCTTCCCATCAACTTTGACCAACTTCCCGGTCCCTGCTGAAGAGAAGCACCCCCAGAGCATGATGCTGCCACCACCATATTTGACAGTGGGGATGGTGTTTTCAGAGTGATGTGCAGTGTTCTTTCTCCGCCACACATAGCGTTTTGCATTGTGGCCAAAAAGTTCAATTTTGGTCTCGTCTGACCAAAGCACCTTCTTCCACATGTTTGCTGTGTCCTCAACATGGCTTCTGGCAAACTGCAAACGGGACTTCTTATGGTTTTCTTTTAACAATGGCTTTCTCCTTGCCACTCTTCCATAAAGACCACATTTGTGTAGTGCACGACTAATTGTTGTCCTGTGGACAGTTTCCCCCACCTGAGCTGTGGCTCTCTGCATTTCATCCAGAGTCACCATGGGCCTCTTGGCTGCCTCTCTGATCAGTGATCTCCTTGTTCGGCCTGTAAGTTTAGGTGGACGGCCTTGTCTTGGCAGGTTTACTGTGGTGCCATACTCTTTCCATTTCCGGATGATGGATTGAACAGTGCTCCGTGAGATGTTCAAAGCTTGGGAAATCTTTTTATAACCTAAGCCTGCTTTAAACTTCTCCAAAACCATATTCCTAACCTGTCTGGTGTGTTCTTTGGACTTCATGATGCTGTTTGCTCCCCAATATTCTCTTAACCAACATCTGAGGCCGTCACGGAGCAGCTGTATTTGTACTGAGATTAGATTACACACAGGTGGACCCTTTTGAGTCATTAGCAGTCATCAGGCAACTTCTGAATGCAATTGGTTGCACTCAGGGAAAAGRGGGCTGAATACTTTTGCACGTCGCACTTTTCAGTTTTTTATTTGTAAAAAATGTTTTGATTCATGTAAAATTTTGCTTCCACTTCACAATTGTATACCACTTTGTGTTGGTCTTTCACATTAAATTCCAGTGAAWTATATTTATGTTTGTGGTTGTAATGTGACAAAATATGGAAAAGTTCAAGGGGTATGAATACTTTTGCAAACCACTGTAGTTTTCTGCAGTTCAGTCGTAGATTTTAATAGTTTTGATTTTAGGTGTTTAATTAGTCTAAGTTATTAAAACATGAAACCACAAATACTGACAAAAGGTAAATTCACACAGTTCTTTTTAACGTCTCCTTCACCTTTTTAACTTCAAATAAAAAAAAAAACACTTTTTAAAGCAAACTTTTGGAATGGTACTAATTTTGGTTAATAAATAATGTTTTTTGTGTGTTTATATTGGCTTCTAATAAATAATCCATTCATTGATAAACAGAAAAGCAATTTTTCAGCTGGAAACACTGCTTGGCCAAAAAAAAGTCACCACCAAAAAAAAAAAAAAAAAAAAAAAGTCACACATTCTAATCACTGGACGGTCTTTATATCTTGTGACTTTGTTTCAGTAAGCTTCTGCAATGTCACCATATTTATTGGTAGAGTCTGACCTTCTCCAGCACATCCCACAGATTCTCACTGGACTCTGTGGAGCCAATCCATGTGTGAAAATGATGTCTCATGCTCCCTGAACCTCTCTTTCACAATAAGAGCCCAATGAATCCTGGCACTGTCTTTTTGGAATATGGCCGTGCCGTCAGAGAAGAGACAATCCATCGATGGAATAACCTGGTCATTCAGTATATTCAGGTCAGCTGACCTCATTCTTTGAGGTCAAACTGTTGCTGAACCTAGACCTGACCACCTGCAGTAACCCCACATCACAGCACTGCCCCCACAGGCTGGTACAGTAGGTTCTATGATGGGTGCATCACTTCACCTGCCTCTCTTCATGACCTCCTTCCATTGCTCCAGAGTCCAATCTTTAAGCTCACTAAATGAAGCCTTTTTTTCCAGTTAACCAATGATTTGACCCTTCTCAAACAGACTGACATCTTTTCCACGACCACAGGATGTGTCTTTCAAAATGGTCGTTTAAGAAATGTCAGTTGGGGTTAAATAACTTGTTGCCAGCTGAATGATAATTGCCCCTGCAGTAATTATCCAGTAGGAGGCTTGTACCTATTTGCTTGGTTAAATCCAGGTGGTGACTGTTTTTTTGCCAGGCAGTGTACAAAAAAAAAAAGAAAAAAAAAGAAAACACCCAGACTGAGTCACATTGTCTTATTAGAAAATAATAAATGTGTTTAAGTATTGACAGAAAAATCTCATTCAAACATAATTTCTAAAAAGATTTCCTTAGAATGTTAGCGAAGCGTTTGGAATTCCTACTTTTTTAAGGTACAGTGAATGCATCAGAATTAAAGTTGAAGTTAAATATTAATATATAAGAGGAGGCTGAATTATTTATTTTATTTTATTTTGACGTTCAAGAAGTAACATTGCCACTCGTTGACAGATATTTACTAGTCTGAGGCCAAAAAAAGTAACTGGGTTGTATATTTTTCAGTTTTGGACTCAGTTATTTGCTCATAAGCACAACATTTGTTTTCTCTTTGTGGTTTGTGGCATAGATAATTTTTACGACGTCATTTTGACCTTTTCCAGATTCTGCTGAAAGGTCAGACGGCGTTCCAGAGAAAAGGTTCGACGCAGCTCTTCTGCTCCACGGTCTGTCTGACGGGCCACCTTCCTGCAGTCGCCAAGGCCCGAGCCTGCTTCCAGTGCTTCAGGTACGTCTCCTCCGTCGCTGAAAACCCCGCGTTGGTTTTGTTGGCGCACAGAAGCGTGTCACGTTACGTCCTTTTCTTTCTCCTTTTTTTCCCCAGGGAGATCACTCAGCCCAGAGACATGGTCACAATCCCGGCTGAAAACAACTCCTTCATGCATTTTTGCGGCCAATTCTGTTTGTCCGTGTTTCGACACAAGAAGAAACAAGTCGACAACGTTTCCGATAAGCTGGCCGACAAACGTCAGGAAAGGAAACCCGAGAAGCCGCCTGAAAAACCGGCGGAGAATCAGATCCTCTGCAGCGTCTGCAAGGCCACCAATAAGGTTAGGGAACAGCTTTTGGTGCTTTGATACTGTGAGTTCAGATATTTGATGTGGGAAAGGTTACGAACGGTGAATATCTTACCTGCTGGATTGACGAGCCAGCTGTGCTTTGCTTCCACAGCAGATTGAACACGAGGTCACCCATCAGGGAAAACTCTTCAAACTCTGCAGCGACAACTGCTTTTTAAGGTGGCGTAACATGCGCCAGCTGGCCATGAACTGCTGCGAAGGCTGCGGACTCTACTGCAACAGCAACTCCAGCTCCTGCCAGACGCTCACGGTGGAAAAAACTCAGCTCTACTTCTGCAGCCCCACCTGCGTCGGCACTTATAAACAGGTACGGAATAGGATTTACGAAAAAAGGCCGCATTCGTCCTGGTTTTTTTATTTAGTGTTTTCACACGAATGTGCAAAATTCACTTTTTTTTTTTCCAGTCTTGCAAAAAGTCGACGGAGTGTGCAAACTGTCACAAGACYATGATGGTGTCCTCCACCATCATGGAGCGAGACCAGAAGGGCAAAGTTCAGCTGTACTGTTCCTCTGATTGTGTGGAGCAGACCCGGCCGGTCCATCACAGCCTCACCGGTACGACGCCGATGTCAGCCTTTCGCATCCTGAAAGTGGCAGAGTTTGTGTGTTAATGTTTTTGTTTTTGCAGGCACTCCCTTCCCTTGCTCCCTGTGCAAAGTTTCAGCCGTTCCTCAGTATCATCTGGCCATGGTGGACGGCACCATCAGAAACTTCTGCTCCTACGACTGCGTGTCTACATTCAGGGTCGGCCTTGTTTTAAAAATCCAGTTAAATCTGAATCATTTTTATTTTATTCAACTTGAATTCTGATCAGTTTTCATTGTTTTCTTTCAGAAGTCTGATTACACCTCTCAGCTCGAACTGACCAATGGCACGTCCTCTCTCAGGGACCCTTCCACCAAAGACGTTCCAAAGCCTGGACCCTCAGCCGGAACCAGCTCAGTCCCTCCTGTTCCTCAGGATATCCCGTCTTCAGTCCCATACTCGGGTCACCATCCCAGTCATACCTCAGTGCCCCCGTTAGTGCCTCCATCTTCGGCCACGTCCTCCCCCACAGTCCCGGCACAATCCCAGGCCAGATCGCCCCCGGATCAGGCCCAGAAACCATCGGAGGACGGACTCAGCAACACCCCTAAAGTCACCTGCCATCAGTGCAGCAAACGGTTCAACACTAAGCCCCTGCTGTTGAGTCACCAGGTAAAAAAAATAAACAAACATCCAAAGCAGGCGTTGAGCATTGTATCGACTAATCACCCTGATTCTTTGAATCTACAGGGACACTTCTTTATATTCTGCAGTAAACCGTGTTCTGATCATTACAAAGTCCAGAAGAACGTCCTTGCTGTGTGCGAGTCCTGCCAACAGGAGAAGGTGCTTTTTGATACCATCACCTACAACCAACAGGACCTGTTCTTCTGCAGTGAAAGTATGTTCTACCTGGAGAGGATTATTTTTCTGTCAGCATGCACTGTGTAGGCTAGAAGAAAGGAGCTGTAACAGCTTTTAAAGCTAAATATTATGAAAGGCTAGCTAAAAGCTAAATGTAACAAAATTCAAGCTACAGGTTAAATGTAGCGAAACAGTAGCTCGAAGCTAGAAGCTGCACTAAGATACATAAAAGCAGCAAAAAAGCTTTTTAAAATTTGCAAAAGGCTAACGAAAAAGGGTAGCTTTCATTTAAAAGTAACATAAGGAAAGCTTTAGGCTAGAAGTAGCAAAAGACTTGTTTCAAGCTAGAAATAACAAAAGACTAGCATTATGATAACAGTAGCAAAAGGCTAGCTTTAAGTTAGAAGTAACAGAAGGCTAGCTTTAAGCTACAAATAGCAAAAGGCTGGTTTTAAGTTACAAATAGCAAAAGACCAGCTTTATGATAAAAGTAGCAAAAGGCTAGCTTTAAGTTAGAAGTAACAGAAGGCTAGCTTTAAGCGACAAATAGCAAAAGGCTAGTTTTAAGCTGAAAGAAAAGGGGTAGCTTTCATTTAAAAGTAGCATAAGGATAGCTTTAGGCTAGAAGTAACAAAAGGCTAACTTTAAGCTAAAAGTATAGAAAGGTTGGCTTTAGTTTTAAAGTATCATAAAGCTAGTTTTAGGCCAAAGATAGAAATAGGAAAAGCAGAAAAAGAGATAGCTTTTGGTTAAAAGTAGCATAAGGATAGCTTTAGTCTAAGAGTAACAAAAGGCTAGGTATGGCTAGAAGTATCAAAAGCTAGCATTAAGATAAAAGCAGCATAAAAGGACCAACACAGAGCCACTTTGCTGAAGCAAATTTCAAGGAGAACAATGTTAGTAAAATAATTCAAGGTATTTATTGTTTGTTTTTTGTAAATAAAGTAAAACAATTTTGAAAAGGTGTGAAAATTTCAAAAACCCATCTCTCGAATGAGCTGATTTTTGAACGGCTAAAGTAGGTCAAAGTTTGCAGAAGTAGATGAACTCCAAAGAGTAAACAAAAATAAAAATATGAAGCAAAAGTTTAAATGTTGAATCAACTTTTTATAAACGCTCCTGTCTTTGACACAAATTCTGTCTGATATGTTAAGATAAACTAACTCTGAGGTTTAATTTGCTCCAGACTGTAAGCTGCGTTTTCGACAAGAACGGTCCTGTCGCCCGTGCACGTTCTGCGCCAGCTTCGGCCAGAAGATGGTGCTCAGCCACTACGGAGGCAAGACGGAGGAGTTCTGCAAACCCCACTGCATGTCCCAGTTCACTGTGCTCTACTACGGGGTAATCAGGAGGATTTTCTGATGCAGTTGATTTATAAACGACTCCGTTAAATGCTTTGAACCGGTTCTGTTCTTGTCCGGTACAGATGGGTCGGTGCGACAGCTGCAGAAAACAGGGCTACATGGGCGAGAAGCTGCAGTGTTTGGGTTCGGTGCGTAACTTCTGCAACATGGCCTGCCTGCTGCACTACTGCTACCAGAACTTTGAGACCAGCCAGCACATGAGCAGCAACGGCACCGGAACCACGCAGATGCCCTGTGGTAAGTGTTCGTGGTTACGTTCTGCTGTTTTAACGTTACAACGATCACGACGTTCGTTCTCYGTCCAGCTCCAACGCAGCCCCACCACCTGACGAAAATGAATCCCGTCATCGCCGACGTCGTCTCTTTAGCAAACGGTTCTGCCGCTCAGCCCAGTGTCTCGGCAGATACCGCTCTGACTGGTTGGTTCTGTTAAAGTCAATTCAGTCGACTCACTTTTTTCTTTTTTTAATGCATACCTCACAGGTTTTAATCCTCTCATTTTTAGGAGCTCTTCCAACTTCAAACGTAGACGGCAAGAATCTTGACCATGTATGTTTTTGTGTTCTCTTCACATCTTATACAGTTTATAAATCAAAATGTAGTTTTATTTTTTTCTTTCACAGTTAAGGTTAATGCGAAGTTGATGTTAGTTTAATTGACAGTTTAATGATTAATTATGTAAATATCACAGTTTTAAAAATGTTGTTTCTGGTGGGCGTCCAGGCCAGTACTCAGACCGACGCCATGCGTGTTCCGGCGCCTCGCCGCCGACAGATGAAGAACAAGTCCGTTTTGTGCCGACCCTTCACCATGGACCAGGAGAGCATGTGCCAGCTGCCCTCGACGCCCTCTGAATCCGAAGGTAACCACAAGAATCAGTTTGAGGTGTTACTGTCGCAACCTTTAACATTTATCAGCTGATCGGACCAAAACGTTTTTAGCACTTTGAGGTTAAACGAGGTGAGACAATGAAAGCCTTTTTCAGACAAGAACTACTAGTTTTATTAATTTAGTGACTGTACCTTCTTGTTCAGTTGTTTTATTACAGGAAATATTCTAGAGTTGTTTTTTTGTACTTTAAATAAGATTTAGCGATTATTAGTAGTCAGTATATTACCTGCAGCAGACAGTTCTCTGACACACTCTCTCTCTCTCTCTCTCTCTCTCTCTCTCTCTCTCTCTCTCTCTCTCTCTCTCTCTCTCTCTCTTTCTCATATCCCTTTTCGTTCTCTAAT